CCAGTCACCAGAAGTCAACACTGACTCAAAGGCACAAAAACAAAACAAAAAACAAACAACCCCCCCCAACACCCCTTGAATCTTAATAATTTCTCATAATATATGGACTAGACTATTATCACAATGGGACATCTGTAATGTTATCACCGAGTGTTATTTTATGACTAGTCAACGATCAAAATGAAGATACTACTACTTCCACAAACATTTGGTGCTTGTGTCATTTATTTTCTAAACAAAGTTTCCAATGTGCAACATGCGAGCATGAAAAAGTAACACACATGCACACACACACACTGTAAAATTATAGGGATAACAAAGGCCAGTTGTCTGAACACTTCTTAAACAATCAGGGTTGATGTGAGCCAGCCCTGTCCTATGTACATCTCACAAATTTTGGCTGCCCTCATCACAGTGAACTTCTCATCATACAGACTCTAGGGGTATGTCATGACCGTTCAAGAGAAATTTTGGAAGACCTTCATTAAAAAGTAATTGGTGCCTATCTGTCTGGAGAAGGTAACAAAAACATTTCTAAAGCTCTGGAGTCCACCAATTCATATTCGGGAACACAGTCTTGAAATAGAGAACATTTAGGACAATATTAATCTTCCCAAGAATAGCCGTTGTATCAAAATTGTTCCGGAAGTCACCAAGAACCCTAGAGCCAATCTAGGAATCTGCAGGCTTCTCTTGGTTGAATCCACCATCAGAAAAGCACTGGAGAAAAGTGGGATTCATGGAATAGTAGCAATGTGAAAGCCATGCTTCACTAAGAAGAACGTTGATGTTCGTCTCAAGTTAAAAAGCACCTGGTGATACTCTAGGTTTCTGGAGGAATACTCTGTGGACAGATGAGTCACAGTGGAATTTTCTGGGTAATGTGAGGGTTATTATGTCCGGCAACAACCAAACACTAGATCCTACGATAAGCATCAAATGTAGTGTTATGGCTTGGGGAGGCTTTCCTGACTTAGGACATGAGTGACTTGCCATCAGTGAGTTCTACGGAGAATATTAGACCATCTGTCCATCGCCTGAAACAATTATCCTAAACATAAGTCTGCAAGAGAATGGATGAAAAACAATCCATTCAGTGTTTTGGAATGGCAAATTAAAACTCAGACCCACACTCAGGTTTGTGACCTGAAATGAGAAGCTTGTGCTAGGATACCCTCAGATGTTCTTAAGCTGAAGCAGTTTGCCATTGAGAAATAGGCCAGAGTTGCTAAACAATGATGGGCGAGATGGATCTCCACGGCTGCAGTCACTGAACTAAAGGTGGTACAACCAGCTACTGAATCAAAGGGCAAGGGGTGGGTGGGAGGATTACTTTTTCACATTAGCACATTGCATGTTGGATGATTTTGTTTCTGAAATAAATGAAACAAGCAGCAGACTTGGGTATTAGTTAACTTATAAATTGCTTTTCCAAAGGGCTCTAAGCAGTGTACAACAGTACAACGCAATAACAACACAAAAAGAAGAACCACAATGCAATAACGATGTCTGCATACTCGGCACTGATCACACTCCAGCGATATCCAAAGACATTCTGGAAGAGCCAGGTGTAGACCAATGCCCAAAGGGAAGCAAAAACCTGTTTACAGAACTATAAATCTTAATCAGAATTCAGATTACTTGTTAGTAATGCTAATCATAAAGAATATGTGTAATTATCGCTATATTTGCCTACATTTGCATATAATGCATGTTAAAAAGGAGCAAGGCTTTGATCATGCAGGGAGGGGCCAAAGTATTGATTTTTTTAATCTTCTGTGGACGTTTCTGAAATGTAAAGCACACAGATCTAATTTTTTAGCAAATCAATACAGCATTTCTTGCAACCTTTTCAAATATTTTCAAAGCTTTTAATAGAAGACGTAAGTAATAAATTATGTTGTGTGTATGTGTGTGTGTGTGTGTGTGTGTGGACTCCTGGCGACTGCCTGGACAAGTCCCTGCAGTTTTCTTGGCAAGGTTTTTTCAGAAGTGGTTGCCATTGCCTCCTTCCTAGGGCAGAGAGAGAGTGACTGACCCAAGGTCCCCCAGCTGGCTTTGTGCCTAGGCAGAACTAGAACTCACCTTCTCCCACTTTCTAGCCTGATGCCTTAACCACTACACTCGACTGGCTCTCAATAAATGATGACATACTGACTAAATAAAAGCCTGAATCAGCATTTGATCCTTGGTGGTGGTACATATATCATGTGCACAATGAAACTGAGAAGATGGATTCACATAATTGTGACTTTTAAAATAGTATTTATCTGTAATGAGATTTGAAGGACAAGTGTCTCAGCACAGACAATTAGTTATGTAAATCCTTCTCTTGTTCTCATTCTGACAACAACTCTTTGAGATAGGTTACACTGAAAGATAATGATGACCTTGTGAATATTCAAATGAAAGTCTCTTGACTACTGACATTATAACACATAAGCTTTTTGGACCTAGTGAAATAGGCATACCCTAGAGGAATAAGGTACCTTGAGTAGATACTTTGTAGCTTTGAGTATCATCATAAAAGAAGCCTAAGGGTTTGCCCACCCAACAATTAAACCAACAAAGGGCTGAAAATGTTCAAGAATATAAGGACAATAGGTTTGAAGTTATTCTGACTTGAGAAGTTTTGCTGATGCATACATCCTCCTACTAGAAATCCAAAAAACACCTTCAGTTTGTTTTAATTTTGTTCTTTCCCATAGGTTGAACCTGGACCTTTGCACTGGCTCTTTCTTTGATAAGCATGGAAACCAGGAGAAATACTGGAACTGGTGGGACAACAGGAGCCATGTTCATGCCCCTCCTTTCCAGCCCATCTGTATTCAACTAAATGCTTATATCCAGGTTAAAATTAAAGCCCAAGATCAGATTTTCCTCACATTTACGAAGTGCCATGATTGTCTGCAACTGAACATTGGTGCACGGCTAAAAGTAAGTGCTGGTGGCCTTTTTTGTACACGGGCACATGTATACGACTTGTGTTGGAAGATTGAGGAGCAAAATTTCTTTATCATGTGCTAAAATCAAATATTACTTAGAAGTGGAGATCTAGAAAGTGGGAAAGGTTGGTAGATATTGGTCTGCATAGTAAGAGGGTAGGGATACCCGTCTCATAATATGATGAGGCAGTCACCACTCCTATGAAGAAAGCTGAGCAAAATCATGAGAAAAATGATCTTTCCTTCATATTGGAAATAGAAAGAAATACTTTTGAATGTTTCTTTATATCAGAAGGAGGCTGCCTTTCATAAAGTGGTATTGAAAAAGGCCTCGATTCATTTATGGGATATTGTTTGTAGAGTAAGCTCTTCAAAAAGATACATTCTGGGATCAGTTGAAGAATTGAATCAATTCTATCTTGTTATGTGTACGTATTATGTGACTCTTTTTCTGTCAGTTTGTTTTCTTCTCTTTTTTTGGCCATACTTATTTTAATCACTATAATTATATTTAGCTTTTCTTTCTTCACTTTACAACCACTATTTGGGTTTGCTTATGTATGTTGCAGTTTTTTGTATTTCACTATTAAAAATTAACGTGGCCCTTGGAAATGTCCCAGCAATGGATTTTTACCTCTTTCACTGACTTTTGAAAGTTCTTTTGAAAATGCAGGGTTGGTCAGTGTGAAAAACCTAGTTGCAAAAGATAAGCAAGTTAGCTAGCAGGTAATGCTGATGGTGGAAAGAAGGAGTATGTATTTATTCTTTTGCACGTAAGGCGTAGCTTGTTTGTTATATGTAACCAAACATATGAACGATGAGCAAAGGAACCACTGAGATTAACATTATTGGTTTAATAATGTTATAATGATACAATTCATGCCCCAATCCTTCAGCTCTGTTATTTTGGCTGTAGTCAATACTGTCTTTTTTCTCATGGATTTTTGCAGTTGAAAGATCCAGACATGCTTTGGGTTCTTCAGCAATATGGAACCTCAGACCAGCTAGTAAGTCACTCCATGCTTGACAAGATAAGCAACCTCTTGACCAGCATAAAGGAGCTATTGAAGAAACTGTGCTCCAGTGCACCTGAAGAATCTGGAGACCTGCGTCTTCTATCTCAGCTGTATGCCATAATGCACCGACGATGCAAAAAGACAAGCTACAAACAATGCAAAAAGAGAAATTAATCTGTTAGGCAGTGGGAAGCAAATCTTTCTAATATTTTAGTAGTAAGGAAACTACTAGGGTAGCTTCATATAGAAACCATTAAACACCTTCAATCTGTCTATAGTTTATCTTTTCATGTCTATGTAACACTATATATCACATTTGAACTAAGAGGGTTCTATAAGAATCCTGACTGTCAAAAGTCTCTTCAGCTGCTAGGGCGAGGCCATTTAGGTCACCATTTAGGCCTGGTTTAATGTAGGGATCCAGACTAAAGCATCTGTGTCAGGTGGATGTCTAACCTTGGTTTGTCATCCACTGAAGGAGAGCCTACCACCTTTCTGGTTCCACTAATGAATTTCCAAAGTGGTTCCACTGATGAATGTTCTAACATTCAAGGAGAACCTCTTTTCCTGGAACCTAAATCCCTTATTCCATGTCCTGCACTCTGGAATGTTAGTGGAACACATAGCTGGAGATGGAAAATCCCTGATATCCCATAACCCTTGCACCAGCACTGTTGAAGCATCATGACCTCACCAATCTCATCCCCATTGCTAGTTGGTGTATGGGGAGAGAGAAAAATGGAGAAAAACAAAAAAAACTCCACCCAGACTTACAACTACCTGTTATTCTCCCTTTAAATAGCCAGCTCCTCTTCCTACTCTGCTTGTATCCATGATCCCTGCTAGCGCCACTCTTTCCCTCTGCCCCCAACATTCAGGCTGTTGGGACAGCATCTCAAAAGTAGCTCATGGGAAAATGCATGCACCTTGCAAGGAAGGCAAAACCTTGAAGAAGAGAAAAAGAAAAAAGAAATCTATCCCAAATCGGGTCATAAGGCAACCCAATAGTCATAGAAAGGGGAGGTACAGAAACACACCAGTAATTCAGAGCACGCCCCTGGCATCCAGGATACACAGTCAGGACTGGCAGCCCCAGGAAAAAGGGAGATGACCCCCAACCCCTCCCCATCCTCCAGGCCAAGTGCTCCAAAAGGATGCTACCCAGCAGAACGGAGGGCAGTCACCTTCCCACGCCACTATCTCACCCCATCAGGCTGCGAATCCTACCAGTCTGCCAATAAAATTCCAGGTGTAGCCTTTTAAGCAGCCCTGCAAGATGCTCCAAGGATACTTCTAGGTGGCAGAGGAGCCCAGCAGCCACCTGAAAGGGTCCTGCAAATGGACTCCAGGCTTATCTTGTGGGACCATTATTGTTCTAACAACTGCCCCAGATGGATTAACAGCAAGTCAAGGGAAATTTAGAAGGATGCCTGTACAGGGACAAGGTTGGGGATATTCCTCAGGTTGAGCCTTCAGCATGGCCCACTATTGTGACTGGGGGCTGCCATAGTGAATGTCACAGAACTTGCAGAACTGGGAAATCAAGGTCCTTCTTGCTCTCCCCTGGTGTAATGGTAAGTGGGAATGACTTGGGAGACAGAGGGAAGAGCCATAGCCAGGGCAACAGTCGGATAGTGGCAGCTTAGCCCACAGAAGGAATGTTGTTGTTGTTGTTCAATCGTTAATCATGTCCCGCTCTTCATGACCCCATGAACCATATCGCGCCAGGCCTTCCTGTCCTTCACTGCCTCCCTG